ACTACGAGTGTTTTGTTAAAGGTTCTCCACCAAAACCTATCGCAATAGAAGCCCTGTTGGAATGAGACATATTGTAACAGCAATTAGTTTATTATTATTATTATTTATTGTTCCGTCGATTATCGGACACAAGTGAAGAGTGCACGTGTGCGAACCAGGCCGGTTTCAAACCTGGTCGACGTTGTATCCAACACATCTTTACTCTTCGAAAAACACTGGAGCACCGACATTCATTTCCTCGACCTGAAAGCGGTTTTCAACTCAGTCTATCGCCCTAAAATGTGGCGCTGTCATTCCCCGTAGGGTGCGTCCGAGAGCTTCATTCATATATTAATATCCCTTAATAATATATATATATATATCTTCACACTTATCTGAATCCAGACTGTGGGCCAAACAAATAATAGTAGAATTATCTTTATAAAAAAGAAAAACGGTCCATGATTGGTTTTTGGGCTGAATACTGCCAGGTTGCCCAGGTCAAGGCAGGTGAATTTTCTTGAGGAATCCACAACCGGAGCCTTCGACTAGCCAAAGCCTGACCCGCAAGGCAGCGGGGCGGTGTGCGAAAACCGCAATCCATTGGGGGCCGGTGTCCAGTTCACCGGATCATACGCTCTTTGGGCAGGGTCAAACGTCCAAGGTGCCCAATACACCTCAATGTCTAATTGGGCCGGTGACCACTGCCACAACCAAAAAGGTGTGGGTGTGGTTCATACGCCTCCTCATGGTTGGTTTGGAATCAGGGTTTTTGGCCAACTCTCCTAGGTGAACTACCAGTGGTCCACTAACCCGGATATCGGCTTTTCGTCCTCTCACCTTGGTGGGAAAACACCTCGGCCACGAGAAGGCAGTGAGTAGAGCATCCTCAGCAGTGCTATTCGAGACGCTTGTTCGTACGGGAGCATTTCGCTAGGTGCAAGAGCAGGGTGATCAGCCGCAACCTTAGACACCCCCCCCCCGGACCATACTGAGGCTCTTGGAGGCACTTTCCTGGTTAGGGATTTCATACCCTCTTGCCGGGTTTTCGTTTGACCGCCCTTGACCTTTTCCCAAACGCTTCCGGCCTCGGAAAACGTCGCGCGCCGTGGAAACTTATTTTCTGACATGCGCAATACATGTCCCAACCAGCGTGGTCTATGGACGTCGACCGCTTGTTCCAGTGTCCCAGTCTGTCGCGGAGCCGCCGCAGAGGTCCCAAGTTGGCGAATGTCAATCGAGCCTTCTGCTGTGAGCTGACACTTCATCCGTGATGCGTCCACCTACTTATCCACTTGCTCTATTACTACCACAATTAGAGTGAGGCTGAGTGCTGGACCAACCAAGTTTTGAAGTGACATTTTGCACTTTGAGGGAGCAAAACTCACTCCAAACATGGCTACGCTAAAACTCTAACTATCGAGGAAAGCTCGCAGCTTACCTGGATGTTCACTTAGCAGCACAGTGTCGCTTGCATACTCTAGGGCGGGCAGTCCGCCATTTAGGAGTAAAT